GTGTCTGGGCGGGTGGATGAGCCCACGGCCGGCCGTGTGGTCTGGGGTGGAGGAGCCAGGCTGGCCGTGTGGTGGGCGGGCGGTGGAGGAGCTCACGGCCGGCGTATGGTCTGGGCGGTGAGGACCCAAGGCCGGCCGTGTGGTCTGGGCGGGGAGGAGCCCAAGGCCGGCCGTGTGGTCTGGCGGGAGGAACCCAAGGCCGGCCGTGTGGTCTGGGCGGTGGATGAGCCCAAGGCCGGCCGTATGGTCTGGGCGGTAGAGGAGCACACGGCCGGCTGTGTCGCTCACGTGTGACAGCCCTCGGATGGCGTACCCCTCCGGCGATATCAGCCCGCACAGTCTATGTACGTAATCATCTCAGGCTTACATATTACCCGCTTAGCTACCCCAAGCATCAGACCTACTGGCCGCCAATCTAAATTATTCAGAGATGTTGTCTTCCTTTTAAGACATCTGACCTACTGACCGCCAATCTGAACTATTCAGACATAATGCCTGCCGATTAAGACATCAGATCTGACGATAGGCGCTTGACACAACGCGCGCCTATCTAAAGGCATCAAATACCACCCTTATTTGAGATGCTAGGCCTGCCTGCCTGTCTGTGACGTCAGGCGTGTGTTTGTTTATATTATGAGTTAAACGCACATCTGAGGCATCAAGCCATTTACGCGTCAGCCATTGGGGACGGGGACGTCGAGGTTTTGAATGCATGGCTTCCACCCAACTAGCCACCGTTGACACGACGCTTGATTTCGGACAACAGATGCGTTCCGTACCGCATTCCTTTGCGAACCGATGATAAGAGTGATAGATGTGTGAAACGCCAAAAGAAAACGCTCGCTAAGCAGCGCTTGTCGTGCGTGAGAGTGAGCCCACAAACCAAGTTGTGTCATTCCAGCTTGTCGCACAGCTTTGCTTCAGGTGTTTAGGAGTACAGAACTGCAGAACTGGCGCGACGGGGAACGACAGATACAACACGGCGCTCAGGGACTGGAGCTTAATGAACAGAAAAGTGACGTCTGGCGCCTCTTAAACGCGATATCCCACCTGCCCAGGCCATACAAGACATCCGCTTGCCTCCGGTGGCGGCAGCCGTCCATTATTCTCCTGCCGAGCCGCAGCAGACGTCCATTATTCTCCTGCCGAGTCGCCGCAGACGAGGGCTGCTTCCCGTCTCGGACGCTACAGAGCTGACGCCACTCACGGCGGCCTCGCAGCCGAGCCGGCCAACAAACGCTGGCAAGGCTCAGGCTCAACCCCCCGCCGCGAGCAATCGACCCGGCCTGTGTCCGACGCAAAATCGATGACGTCAGTGGGAAAGGGAAGAGTGAAAGTTGCTTTTTTAAAAAGGAAACACTCGCGAGCCACGCGCGGTGATGAACATTTCGGATGCCAAACATGTAGAGTGGGGCGGCTGGATAGGATGTGAGCGGCCTGCGACGGTCATGCTTAAGGTGCAATAAAGTTTAAATGGCTTCTGAGACTGGAGATAATGGGAAAGAATTGCTGGATTAATTCAAGCTCAAACTATCATTTAGCTGGCGAGGCTTGCTAACAGCACTAACTCGGGAGGAGACAACATCAGCTGTACAGACGGGATTTTAATTGCCCCGGCATTAGCAACCGGCCCTTTTAGCGCTTTAGAAAAAGCCAAGTCTGGCTACATTAGCATAGCAGGCACATTCGAGCATCGTTTCACTGGCGCTGTTTCTAAGACAGCCATAGCGCACGGATCACTTGAGATATCAACTCTTGCCAGAGAGAGCCGTTTTTTACACTCTCAACCCACGAGGGGGAGTTTGGCAGGCACCCCACTAACTCTTAAACTAGGACGGCTATAGCATCAGAATGAAAACCAGCGTGCTTGCTCGTGGTCAACGATATCTTGAGATGTTCAGAGCTTTCTGTGTGATAGCCATAATCCAAATTGAAACAAAATGTTCTCGACTGTATACCTACCACACTGCGAAACCAGAAAAATGCATTGAGCATTGGCGCGTTCTCTGCTTTTTCCGGTTTTGAGAATATTCAGATTTCTTGGTCTAAGTCAACTGAATGCCCCCACCCCACAGGTCAGAAAGCATCACCACAGGGGAATCATTCATTGGACCACATGGCATATAGTTCACTACTGGTAGCTGTAGCACTAAACAAGGAAAAGTGACGGGGAAAACCCGATGTCGGGATCACCCGCCGAAGCTATCCAGTTGCACCTGTTTTGTTTTTAGTTCAGTATGTAACAATATATAAGGACAAGCTACGTCGTTGGGGTAACGCATGTTGTACTGCTAATAAATGCAGATATTTGCTTAACAATAATCGGATGAACTTACTGTGGGCTTGCTTTCACTCTTCCAGTTATGAATAATTTGCAACAGATGCATTTGACCTTGACGGGTCAAGGCCAGGCACGCTTATAAAGCCAAAAGATTCGTCCCGGTTAGCTCAGGTAGCAGAGCACTGGATTCGCAATAAAAAAGACCCTGGTTCGAGACGCAAGCAACGCCACAGGGACAATTCGGGTTAGCATGCATACGTGACTGAAAGTCCAACCAACCACAGTCAGGTGTTGTTGAGTCAGGACTAAACAACACCTGGCGATCGGAGAGTTAACTGGCGGGAACGTGTACCAACTGATGCATGGAATGGTGAAGATTCAGCTGTGGGCGGAGCAGAAGGCTGAGACCGGAACTGTCTGCTTTTGCATGTGATTGTTGTTATGGAAAAATGGTCGAACACCCTTCAGTCGCGTTTTTAAAGTATTTGACCCTAGGTCCAGTCACAGTGTTGTCCCCCCCCCCCCCCCCCCACCCCACAACTCATTGCGTTAAATCGATTAATTTAAATCGGCGAATATTTCAAAGCGATCGGATGAGCGGTTCGTAGCACCAGCATGTATGCTGGATATGCCAGTTCTTTGGTCCTATCCGAGTAAGGCCCTATATACGAAGTAAGGTCACCATGTGATTTCTTTAACTCTGCACAAGCCGCCGCGTGACGTCAGTGGGAGCCGCTTGGTCGGTGGCCCCCGGCGACCACCGAATAGGAGAGCCAAGATTTCAGCCACCAGAAGCCGCTCCAGCAGCAGCAGACCCATGCGCCGCACTCCAGCAACGGCAGACCCAGGCTTCCCACCCGCCCCCCCCCCCCCCCTCTCTTGCAGGTTCAGACCCGCTGCTCGTCCAGACTAGCCTAAATCCCCTTTAACACCGGTGACAAAACTTTTAAGATCAACAGGTGAATATCATTGTAAAGGGGATGTTCCGCATTCGAAGATATTGAAGCAGGCATCAGATGCGGTGAAATTGGTATTCTTTTTAGCGTAAAAGACTGCTCTAAAAACACAATTCCGTGTTCAGTAAAAATGCTCCTCAACCCGTCATTGTCTGATTACGTCATCGTACCTTGAAAAACATTGAGAGCCAAGTGACAGCCATTATATCTGGAAATCGTGCTCACAAACACCATATATGAACGACTCGACAATTATATTTCGTTTGGCCGTGATCGTCATACGGTTAACGGAATGACAGAAGTTTAATGACATGATTATGACGTCATAGACTCTTGGAAACCTTGAAATGATCTCCTAGAAACATTCTGCATCCGGTGTGTAGCTCCGAAACTACGGGGGTTTAGGCCTCAAGAAGGGCATGGCTGTGTGCTGCACCAAATGACCCTCAAGATAGCTATTTCAGCTCAAAACCCCCATACAAACGTAAAACACTCCCTATTAAGCCGCGATGATCACGCCCAGCCCGGCCCCAGCGGTCCACCGCTCATCCAAAAGTTGTTGAACAATCAAAATGATCGCTGGATTGTTGACGTTTATGCCACTCCCATCGACGTCACTGTGGGGTGGTTGCTAGATAACTTGGTTTCCCTATGACCCTCAACACTGGTGGCGACCCATCTGCACAGTGTTAGGCTAGTCGATTTGTGCTATGCGCAAATGTCGTTCCTTCGTAATCCTTGCGCAATGTTTGGGAACATATCGCTATGCATGGTAAGCAGGGCCCTGTACAGGCCGTAACAGCATCTCAAGTAATTGGTCTCGCAAATTTAACTCGTAGGCCCACAGTTCAATCGCTACCGGACTTCACGTACATGCTTACGTGCTTCATCCTCCGTTGGGCCCCAGTGCCGGCGCACGGCCAGTGCATTCAATTGACAGCCGCATTCCAGTTCATCCTCACCGTCCTCTCTCGCGCTCAGGGATTCTTCCCTCCACCCATTCATGCTCAAGTCCGCCATTTCTGCCACGTCTGCGCTTCTCTATGGATGCATGCTATCAGACAATAAGTTCCTGGCAACCTGAGCCTCTACACGAGCCTTGGAAATATTATATATGGTCAGATCCAACCAAAACAAGCTCACAAACAACACGAATCGTAACGCTAAGCTCATCTCTCGCCTCCTGTTAACGCATCCGCTCCTCTTATCCGGCGATTCGTTCCCGAGTTGTTCATCGGATTGCCAGCCATCCGTCACCAACCGGTCAATTCGCCTCTCCCCACACATGTTTGCAAATCTGCCCCCTCACCGCCACACACCCTACCCCCACCGACACACATACACACACACACACACGCACGCACGCACGCACGCACGCACGCACGCACGCACGCACGCACGCACGCACGCACGCACGCACGCACGCACGCACGCACGCACACACACACACACACACACACACACACACACACACACACACACACACACACACACACACACACACACACACACACACACACACCACACACACACACACACACATTCGTCCCACGCCGTCGGGCCCCCGGCCCGAGCGTGTGCCGGAAACACCCACCGAAGTGGAGCCGCCAGACCTCGGCCGTGGTTTGGCCACGCGACTGGCCGCCGTACACCAGCATCCAGGCGAGCAGGCGGCAGGCGGCGTGGCCGTGCAGCGGGCCCGGCGGAGAGCCGCGCCACCGCACCGCCGTCCACAGCAGCGAGTCTGCAACACAGCACGCCTGTTAGTGCCGTCCACAGCAGCGAGTCTGCAACACAGCACACCTGTTAGCGCCGGCCACAGCAGCGAGTCGGCAACACAGCACGCCTGTTAGTGCCGTCCACAGCAGCGAGTCTGCAACACAGCACGCCTGTTAGTGCCGTCCACAACAGCGAGTCTGCAACACAGCACGCCTGTTAGCGCCGTCCACGGCAAAGAGTCTGCAACACAGCACGCCTGTTAGCGCCGTCCACAGCAGCGAGTCTGCAACACAGCACGCCTGTTAGCGCCGTCCACAGCAGCGAGTCGGCAACACCAGGAAGGTATCACTCGCCCTCTTCAGTAGCGATATTGCAACGGGGAAGGTTTGTTGGTTCTGTGCACAACAGCTATTATGCAGCACTGGAATGCCTCCTGCTCTCTACATTCGGGGATCTGTAGCTAAGGAGATGTCGTTACTCCCGACAGCAGCGAGTCTGCAACAACTGGAGGCTAAACGCGATAAAGTCTTCCCCCAGCCACAATAACATCCAGGCACTGAATGAAGCACCGCGCAATCGTCTCCGTCTTCAGGCGGCCTCTTGGCAGGCATTGCGAGTTATGTAGATGATAGTACAGTTTGTTCATGTGAACCAAACCGCAGATGCATCGCTTCACACACATCTAACATGTCCAGGACCTGTTTGGTGCCCCGTTGGCTACCCACCACGGGTGCCATGGTGAGTTCCCCACTGGGCGGGGGGGGGGGGGACACGTACCGAGGTCGAGTTTCCAGAGGTCGGCGCGCTCGGTCAGGTCGGTCATGCCGCCGAACACCCACATGGCGCTGTCGTGGACGACGGCCGAGTGGGCGTGGCGTCCCTCGGCCGGACCGGGCCCCGTGCGCAGCTCCTCCCACCGACCCGAGGCTGGCGGCAGGCGCGGCACTTCAGAAACGGGCACGCACACACGTGCGCGCCCGCAATCGCGCACGCCACACGCACGTGCGCAGCGACACACACGCAGGCGCAGCGACAGCGGGCTCACACAGCACGTAGTTGATGAACTGACGCAATGGTCTCAATTTGTTCAGACACACCAATAGGTCCTGTGGTGTGACAGTGTGTCACCAAACACACCAGCTTCTTTAGCACAGCACAGTTCCTCTAAAACTTGTTCGTACTGTCCCTTTACCACCTACTTGTTTGCCACTATTCCGCTCGCGAGGAAGTGCTTACAGCTTCGTGCGCGTGATGTTTCGCGAATGCTCCCGTGATAACTGAGCCAACTCTGTCTATCTTCGTGGGTCGGTTAATTTGTATAATTGACATTGCCATCACATGCAGACAAAAGAGGGACGGCTTATGCCAGCAGACGACAACCAACACTCACAGAGCTACCGGGCAGAGCACAACGGACTCGCGCTCCCAAAATCCCGCAGTTGGCACACAGAGTCGCCGAAATTGACGTGCTCCAACTGCATTATGAAGTGAGTCTATGCCATTGACGGGTGAGAACAGCTGTGACCCGTGCGTGATAACCACCACGCCATGTGGCAATGATCCACCACCTTACTTCAAAATTTCCACACACTAAGCGACAGCGCCAGGATGTTGCCGCTGCTATAGTCTGCCAAAACAGACGTGCCACCGGCGCTGTAAGGTGCGAGCCTCGTCTGCCAGAGGAGGCGTTTCCCAGAACAAAACCCAGCAATACCGCCACCCTGAAAAACCGGAGAATAATCCCAAGCGGCGGACCCAGACGCCTGGTTTGGCGCGAGGAGCACACCACTGCATTGGTATTTCCTCTAAAATGTGAGACACTTGATTTAACAAAATGCATCAGAAATTGACATATGCAGCCCATATCTGGAAGATCGACCACAACCAATAATTTTGTACTGACTCTCTTTAAGACTAGAACTTAGTAAGTAAAACTATTCAACTTTGCTTTAAGTACGCCACTGGTGGATCCATCCAGTTAGGGATAGGGACTAAGCCGTTCGGGCAAATGACGTACAATATACATGCACGAGGATGCGTTTTTACGAGGATATTCCTTAAATTATTCAATGCTAAGTTACACGATAACAGAGATAGTCGACTACCTGAGATTAAGCTCCGGGCATCCTGGCTGCACGCCCGCGTGCAGTCCGACCGGCCTGCTCCTCATGGAACCACGCATCATGAATGCATTTCAGCTTTTCACCTGTTTCAACTTGTACCCAACCTTTGCCATACGCTGGTTACACTGTTCAAGGAGCTTAAGGATGAGGAAAACATGCACTAAATTCCAAACTGATCCACATTTTTTAATTCTCTTACCTTCATTCTTATCTAAATATGGCGGCCTTTCTCTTCGTCTGTTCTCGAAAAAGTTTACAAAGGTCACCTGCCCCTTCATTTTCACCGCAGTTCTCTTCCAGTTACTGTCAGGCCCGCCTGGGTACTGTCTCTTTGAAAGATGGCTCCAACCAATCACCTCGCGTGAAAATCCCATGTTTTGCGAGGAAACGTACTCATAAGCATAATTATCCAAACTAAGAGAAGAGGCTGAAGTGCTTCCAGATGGAAACACAAGCAAACTTACACAACTCATCCACGTTCGCTATTCTTGTTGCTCGTTTTATTATTGCCAAATCAGTTCCCAACAGACCAACATATTTGGGATCAATGCCCCTCTTTTGAGCGTATGAGCAGGGGAAGGCTGGAATGACCCCTGCCATCGATTGGCCGATACAAGCGGATGACTTTGGTCGGGCGCTTTTTCATCCCGATGAAGCCCTGGAACTCTGCAGCCGTCAGACCTCGCTCCGTTCGCACCGCACAACATGTGCCATCCCGCTACGATTGGATGAACCAGGGGGGGGGGGGGCGCACCTAGGGCACCGAAGCACACGGGCTTGGCTGAATAATGGAGGCTTAATCGAGTCCGAAGCTGATTTGTCACAATGCATTTTATTACCTGATTACAACCTCCTGATTGAATCCTGACATCATGCTCGCTCCAACCAAAAAGAAAGAGCCTCACGGAAGGAACAACAGTGGATTGGTCTCAACAAAATCTCGTGAGTTGTGATCGGTTTGATTTTGCTGGGCACATAATTGAACATTTCTTCCTGAAAATCATACTATTTTAGACATACATGCCCAAATTTACAAAAACATCGTACCTAGAAAAACAAACTCTGAACGTTCAAACTTTTCGTTTAATTCTGAGCACACCAATATGTAGGGTGGCGTGTGCCAGCGTGCTTTATAATGCAGGGCTTCATTAAGGTACCAGAGTCGACCTGCCCCGGGCGATCGGTGGATTCCTCGGTTCCCGACTGCCAGCCACGCCGGCCGTCGAACGCCTTGCAGTGTTCCCTAAAAACCGCCGCTATCCAGAAACCAGAAGTGCTGGACACAAGGGTTTGCTCTCAAAACACACCGTACCATGAATTCCCCACAGGCTCTTACCACTTGAGCGCAACTGTCAAATAAGCCGGAGAGATATCTTCAAAAAATGGATGGCGGAGGTCGCCTCGACCACCTCCCCATCAGGCGAGCGCTAGTAACACAATGGTATGCGAGCTGCTAGGCGTGCAGATTGTGTACTCGCAGATCAACTCGATATTGTGCAAAGTAAACCCTGTTGGGCCCGTGGCATAAACGTTCTGGCCGACCAGATATCTAAAAAGTAAGGCTTCATTAGCTACAAAATTGACAAAGGGGTTCATAATACATTTGTGTCATAAAGCAGGCTGTCTTGAGGTACGATTCATATCAGATTTTCTGCTTCAACAGAGAACATACGGTTTAGCACCAACACAATCGGTGTATCGTAAAAACGTATTTGTTGTCATCACGTCCTGTTGCAACACTCTGATAACAAGTATGCCAGATGCGTGATATAAATGACTGGTTATTGATCTCCGATCAATTCAAGCAGACAAAAAAGACGTGCTTAGAAGTTAAAAAGCCCAATGCCAGGGTTCGGTGATCTCACATCAGCATCGTTGGGGCGCATAGGTAAAGTTGCTCTTGCCAGCATAGCGATCACCAACCAGAAGCGGAGTTATACGCTCAACTGAGCTTGCACATAATGAGTGGTCAGCTTCATCGTCAACATTAGGCCAAGTCACGCTAATTCAGCCCTTCAGAACGCTATGCTGCATCTGCTTTCGTTTTCTGTTGGGGAGGGGGCTCCCTGTCACAATTTCTCACCCGAATTATCGCAAGACTTTCAATGAGATACCACAGCTGGTCGCAATTACTTTTCACTCCCGCCTATCAACTTCTGGTTGGTCTTCACTGAACGGACATCGAAACAGACTGAGCATTGCGTTGGCTTAGACTGTCTTGAGGCAACCGACGAGAAACCTTCAACGTGAGGTTGAGAAAACAATGTAAAATTCTGATCGCAAGTCGGAGACACAGACTGCCGACATCGCCCGACGGCGCAGGTCATGAAAATGGACACTAAACGGCGCTCAGCCTGGGGACCAGGCTGCAACCATGTAAGGTATCAGAAATAATCATGGTCTCGATCCACATTAATCTAACAGCTGCCCACTTTATTTTATCTGGACCCTCTCCGAAGCTTTGTGTGGCTTGCCATCCACCCAGCTCCTTGCCCTTCCATCCTCTGTTTCCACGCATCTGCTGCGTTGACGGTATTGCGGGCAACTTCGGCCGAATACAAACGCCTCATATGAGCATTATTGGATCATATTTTGGTTGCAGATGGCGCCTCGGCTAGAAGAACTCTCGAGATGGCACCGAACTCCAGAGGAAGAACTCCCGGTACTCCAATTGGCGACGCCCATCCCCTTAACACGACTCTTCGTTTTGCCCGCCCTAACAATGCCCACACTGCGGCCCGTGAGTGTGCAAGAAAACGAGGGATGCAATCTACCTCAAGGGCGTGTGACGCACGCAGTTTAAACGCTCTGGTTGAAAATCAATGGCGTTCCGCTTATGGACGTCAAATTGAAACCGGGAAACCTTTGGTGACAGTTTGATGGGGCCCAAGGCTGGGTTTGCCTCTGGCTTCGTTGGCTTCAACCGATGGGGGCGTCAACCCAATGCTAGTGGAGCGGAGGTAAAATAGATTTCATTGCAGCTTTGGGACGTCAAGAGAAGTAAAATGCATTCAAGCAGCGGCTTAAATGCAGCAAATGCGGTTTGACAAATAGTGGTTACAACTCACAACTTTAGAGAATCAACTGGCCGATACGCCAGTGGAATACTAACGACCATTTGGCGTGACGTTACAGGATGAGCACGTTTGGGAACACGTTCCATGTTCCCTGAGGCGCATCCCATGTGCTTATCTGCCCAGGCAGATGGACTAGGCGGACAGGTTTCGCCGTAATGATCGGGCTGCACTGCAGCCTACCATTTTGGGAATATCATAGCACTGATTTCGGCAAAGCGACCATGCCTGCCGTTTGAATTATTTTTCATCGCATCAATATTATTTTATTGAAATCAGGCTTTTGATAGTCAGCATTCCTAACGGTGTTTTAAGTTGGATATCACGAATTTGTGCTGCCCATAACACAAACTTGACATGCTGTCATTGTTCAAAATACAATTGACATTAGCAATGAATGATTATCAGCAGCAGTTCCTTGAACACGCTGAAGGATTTAAACACTATCACGACGCTGCACCGTTGGCTTGTATGTGAGCATGGTCATATGCCAACGCCATAAGCTGATACGTCAGCTGTCTTGTTTATGCTTTTATGCTTAATAGGATCGTCGCAAACGGAGCCCTCTCCACTAACAGGCGAAGTCGGCAGAAATAAACACAACCTGTATAGCGCACGCTGACAAAAATCTACATTTGAGGAAACATTCGTCAGAAACTGCACTGACTGTGAATATTACCGCAAGGATTCTGAGAGCAGTAATCTCATCAGCAGCCACATTGGGTTCGAC